ATACTTCTTAATAAATAAATATGTTATAAAAATAAAAAAGCCGACTGCGTAAAAGCTAACTAAAAAGATGAAAACAAGTTCACGAAGGAATATAGTATTATGCAGTCGGAGACATACACGTTTCATCCTTGCCGCGAGATTTACATACTCGTATATATTATGATGAACCGAAAAAAAGTAAAAAATGTTTTTTGTTAGTATAAGAAAAAAGTGATTAACAAGAAAATTAATGTTTATCTATTGTGAATTGTAAAACTCGTAGGGTGTTTTGTACAATATTTTTATACTAACTCTACTTTGAAGTAGGTTTTAAAATAAGTGACTGAGCTTGCCTAAAAAATATGTTTTAACCCGACCACGCAAGGAGTGTTGTATTTTTCGATTTTTGAAGTCTATTTCAAGGCGTACATGCAGTCTAACCGGCTTGCTATATTTTGCTATATTATGGTATCATTAACATTTGTCTTGATTGTGAGAGTAGCATAAAGTCCTTTTTATCCAAGGAAAGAGAAAGGATTACCGAGGCATTGGGGAGAGAAATTTAACGAGTTTTCTGTAATGAAAAACCCAAAATCGACGAAATATTACAATAGTCACTACTGCTTACGATGTCTTAAAAATATTATAATTGCGAAGGCGGTCGTTTATTCTTATAATAAACAAATTCGGGCGTATTTTATTGTCAACTAAGATTTCACATCAATGGTAAGTTACGTATCTACTCGTAGCTATCCAATTGTATCTATCCATACTTTGAAGTTTTTATAAAGTTTATTTTTCTATCAGTCATCATGTTGTTTTTACGAACTTCCTATTGTACCTACTTACTATAAAGTTGTAAAAAAAACAGGTTTTATAATAATTAATCTTTTTCTCTCATTATTAATTATTTCTTCCACTCCGACGTTAAAAACAATCCACGTACGGTAACCTTATAGGTATTTTAAATATAGGAAGATCCTCTCGTTTGAAAGTAACACCTACCTAAGTATATAAAACATGCTACGTAAATGATTTCCATTTAAGGCACAAATAAAACATACAATTCCAAATCGCACTCACCGTAGTCGTAAATTGAAATATAAACCTTATCGTATTGATGAAATGCACGTTAAAATTTTAAACATTGGTTTCTTTCTAAACATTCACAGTGTAATCGATTAAATTACTATTTTAAATACATTTTTCCCATCTATTATTATATTAATTCACTTTTAGATACACCTAAATACTACAACGGATCAAAATATGCACACGTTTAGTACGCGTGTCCGTTCGAAAGATTTACGCGACACTGCCACTACCGCAACCCTGTATGCGTCCCACCATTGCAAGTTTGCGTTAAAGAGATTTCAAGCTATATACTATGTGGTACTTCGATGTGACTCAGCAAGGCATCGCCAAAACTTGCCAGAAGTGAAAGGCTGCATCGACACTGCACTGTCGGGTATCCGAACAACGAACTGTGACTCGTAACCCGAACACTATTAAATCAAATTATAATTATTTACTTTACATCTCTTATGCCACGATATATTTACCTTTCCTACGCTTATCAACTATTTGCATGTTCTAAATATTTTAATATTTATACGTAAGTACTTATTGTTTCTTATTTTCAATGATACCTACAATCATAGAAAGAAAATATTTTCCATTCATATTAATTTAAAATGTATTATTACTTAATTTTGTATCAGAATCCACGGGCTCAGAGCGATCCTTTAAAAGGCTTTCTTAGGATACAAATTATAAGTTCAACAATTAGAAGCCCTTTAAGAGATTTAAATTTTTAAATGTGACGCTTCAGTCGAGATTTATTTTATACTGAAGAACAAAATTGCCCTCAGATGGTGGATGAAAATTATGATAAAACTAAATAGGTAAACGCTATTAGATGACCGATGGGCTATTGGATAATGCCTACATGATGTCTTCTGATGCTGTTATCAATAGTCTCACAAAGAACTTTTTGCGAACGGTAACTCGCCTCCCACTAGATAGAAGCCAAAAAATTTCTACTTAAGCAGTTTACTTGTTGTTACGCAATTTGAGCACTTCCACACTTTGAAGCACTTATATTCCACTCTGGACGACCAATAAAGGCAAGCCAGAGGCAGAGGATAGATGTAATTTCTCCCTGGAGATCACAAGTCCTCGTTGTCACCACTTACTACCAGCTCATCTCACGTTTGGACATAATTTTTATTACTTACTAGCAGAACACGCGGCTGCGCTCGCGCTAAAACTACAATAAAAGCTCTAAAAAGTTAGGTTTCATACAAACTTTTATTCCCTATTTTACCCCCTTTTGGGATAAATTTCGTATAATGCTAAAACACGCAATAATTTTTCTGGTTGTATTATAACGTGTTTTCCCGTGGGAATGATTTAATCTCCCGCGGTAAAAAGTAGCATATGTCACTTTCCAGCCCTCCAACTATCTCCACACAAAAATCACGCCAACCCGTCACTCCGTTTCAACGTGAAAGAAGGACAAACAAATAAATAAACAAACAAACAAACAAACAAACAAACAAACAAACACACTTTCACATTTATAATATTAAGTGTGGATTAAAAACTAGCAGCTCACCATCGCTTCGCTCGGGATCGCCTCTAAAAAAACAAAACCAAATCTATTCCACGGGCACCGTACATTTTTCCGGGATAAAATGTATACCTATACATAGAGAAAAGTAGATCCGTTCAGCCGTTTTAGCGTAATTGAGTAACAAATATCTTGTTGTTGTGTTATCTTTACGGGGCCCCAGTGAGACTGGGGGCCCTCCACCCTAGGCCCTAGTTTTGTCTTTCTTGGAGTAACGGGTAAGTACCAAAGAGTATATTTTATGCTGAAAAAACTACTGATTTTTTTTCCAGTAGACTAGTTTGAAATAAGTTACAAGGAACACATGACACTGGTAAAAAATAATTAAACAAAACTGCCATAACTTCCCAGCATTGTTTCACCGACTCACTGAAACCAATATGGAGCGTTATTCAGCGAAGTCAGTTGTTACGAACATCATATGTCATAAAGTTTGTTTATAGCATTGAATAAACAATCTATAATCATGACATGTCGATAGTTTATATCACGTTTGTATCGCGAGACCGTGGCAAGGTAGATCACATTACCATCTTTGAACACTAGAATATTCTATGTAGTTACCTACTATCCTACGTCCTAAAGGTCACGAAACAGGAAATTTAAAATTGATACTACATACATATTCCAATAAAACCTCTCAATAATAGAATTTTATAGTCTAAAATTGTGACCCTTAGGTAAGTCTACGCTGCAAATTCAACACATTTTTTTATATGTAGGTACCTACTACAAATAAATGCCTACTTATTATTCATTCGTAGGGTAGATAGGTACTCTAAAAACTTCCACAATTTATAAGTACGCTAGCATTGCCCGCGGCTCCGCCCGCGTTCAGATGACCAAAAACCAAATTCTTAGGTTTTACATATTAGTATACTCTTATATTGCACTTTTTGTATTTTTTCTCAGAAATGAAAGATTTTCCCGTGGTAAAAAGTATCCTATATATTGACCCGGATAACGAGCTATAACCATACCAAATTTCATCAAAATCCCTCCAGTCGTTGTTCTATGATGCGGTAACAGACACAGACAGACAGATAGACAAAAATTCTAAAAACTATAAATTCGGCCTCTGTATCGATAATAATGTTTATTTCAATAAGATTTTCCGAAAAATATTTAATGTACAGATTCGGCTTAGTTACAATTTTATTATATGTATAGATAGAATACTCGTTAACTTGTTATTCGGGTCAACATTTAGGATATTTTTTACTGCAGGAAAATATTTAATTCCCACGGAAAAACACAATGACTGGTTCTATCGAGTCGTTCTTAGAAAACATGTCTAACGCTGGCTAAACCTTAAGGCATAGGTACATCAAAACAATGTAATAGAATATTGTAGATTTTAATAAGGCCTTTTTTTTGTTATCGCGGGGGAAACCCATCATGGGGACCCTGCCCGCCGTCAACGGGCAAGGTACTATGAGACTCCTACTCACTAAAACCCACAGCGGAACGCGTCGCCGCAGTGCAATGGGGCGTTGCAGCATCTCTTGCGCACACACTACACCTCTCTTAATAAGGCCTACAGAAAAATCTGCAATAGCATAAGTCTTTCTCCTAAGGTAAACTCGCAATAACTATTCAACAATATTCATATCTATTTGAAACGTACCCCATAGGGACGCATCCGAGCGGAGCGAGGGTAAATCACTAGTATAATATATAGTCTATCATTCCATACTAACCGATAAAACGTACCTACAAAATATATTTTTTAGCATTTATTATTAACTTTTATACTATCTTAATTCTTACGTTTATGTTCTACTTTTGGATCCTGGCAATTGGCCAAACTCACGTAGAGTTACAGAACTACTGTCCTTGAAACTTATTATTTTTATCTTTCTAATTATTATTATTATTCTTTCTTTTATTGCCTAATGAGAAAAGTAACTGCTAACTATACGGCGCTGCAAATATAAGATATGCAAATGAATTAGGAAATGGGAAACAAAAATTGTCTGAATACAATTTTTACTTTTGTATTACTGTAGTATATAGGAATAAAAAACTTTTTTCTTCGTGCACTTTATTAAATGATGCACATAAAAATGTCAGTCTTTAATTGTGTAAAATTATTTTTAAAACATCGTAAAAGTTCATCGCAAAAAAATCAATACACTGAATACAACAAAAAAAATGTAATGCATATTTTTTCTTCATATTATTCTATTCGCCATTTTTTTTTAATTTTGTTAATTGGTAGTTGTCATTAAACCATTAACCAGTACCATTTAACGGTTTCGTTGAAAATTAATTTAGTGTATTATAAGCTCATAATAATAAATTTTCAATTACAACGTTACAAATCTCATATGCCGAAAAATCCTTATTTTGATGCATTATTGACTTAAAGCACACTATAACATGTTTATAGATCCAATATTTTAAAGAAATATTCCACTTCCAGTAAACCATCTTCAGCTAAATCACTGCAATGTATTGCATTCTGCACTTTTGTCTTTCCTAGTTTAGCTCTTAATGTATGGGGACGTAATAATCTTGCGATTTCCTGCAAAATGTAGTATACTTGAGTTTACATAAATATTAACGTTTTATTTATTTTCTTATAGATAAATTCATAAAACATTGAATTGAATTGAATTAATATCTAAAATTCCGTGATTAGATTTTAGAAAGAATATTTTTTTAACTATTTTCTATACATTTCTGTATCCACTAATTCAAAAAATAAATGATTAGTTTGTTTTTCGGAGGTATTGAAATTCCCTTATTTATATTGAAAAATTCTTATTAAGGTATTGTATGTATTTTTGGAATTATATTTACATTATTTATAAAAAACTTACTGGATCTGATGGGCCAACTAATTTTCGAAATTCTATGGCAGTATTTATATTTTTATCTTTTGCAACTATCTCCATAGCAACACAGGGTCCACTTGCCAGCTCTTCAACCATACCCTAAAATAATAATCACATAAATATTATACTGAACTAACAGCTTGCATAACTGTTCTGGCTTCACCTGGTTGTTTTTTACAAACATTACTATTTCCCATAATAATTTTATAACCCTCTTTGTACCCTAAACCTAACACTTAATTAACATATATTTTTATTTTTAAATGCCGAAATATGTAATTTGAACTCATTTCAAATATATTTTTTCATATAAACTTTGCCATCAGATTGATTTGTATATCAAATAATTATTATAATTAATCTGAAATTTTGACAAATTGTTGCTCTAATCAAAGTATAAATATAATTTCACCATACAAAAGGCAAAAGATAGTGAGGAGCAACTTAAAATGGACTGTAAATACAACAATAATTAGACTTTTAATTACAGATACAGTTATCAGTAAAAATATTTTTTTTTAATTACCTTATATTCTTGGACTATGCCCTTATATACTTCATAGAATTCTGCAGCATTTATATTTTCCACCATAAACATATTCAATGCAGTAACATCAAATCCTCCTTCATCAATAGCTTCCAATGCCGCTCCCAGTTTCCCTTCTCTAATTGCATGGGGCTTCACTATACACAATGTGCAGTTTGACAAAGTTGCTGTTAATCTAAGTCGTATTGATTTTATTGGAGGGGGAGGGAAAAAATATTCAATATCCTAAAATTTTATTTAGAAAGTTTGTTAAAAAAACTCTTAAAGTAAAAACTCTAGAGTGGAGTCGTTTCTACTTATAGTTTGGAGCCTATAAAGGATCCTCAAATTAAAACACACTGCTACCTGCATTAAATTTGTTAAGCTAAGCATTATTTTATTCATATTGTTATTTTTATTATACACTTTTTCTTTCAACTTCTGTTACAGTGATACATACTTCTTGGTATTTCATACTTAACTAAAAATGCTTTTTGTTACATATTGGATACTAATTTTATATTCATGGTACTAAAATGTTGTGTTAATTAAAAATATTAAAATTTTACCTCTATTGCAGCTTCGAGGTTTGGTGAAACATGAGCACAATTCCTAACAGGATCTGTACCATATAAAGCACGAATACTTCCAGGTTCAGCCTTTATGGGATCCTTATCTCCCAGTATTTTCACACATGCAGACACAGAGTCTTTACCTACTAACTCTAATCCAAAAACTTGTTGTCCAGTCAGATAATCAAGAAGAAATCTATAATATTTTTAATTAATGTTATTTATAAATTATATGTAAATATTTATTATTCTATGAATACTTTAAAAGAACTTACGGAAATGTTGGATCAGATAACTGTTTTCGATATATAAAATTGATGTCTTCGGCTGTAAGTGAAGTCTTTTTCATCTTAGTTATTTTGAGACCTTGCTCAAAAAAATGTGTTAAAATCTTTCCAGCTGTTTTTACTGGCATGGGTTTAATCATAGCAAAAGTTCTGAAAGTTGGTAGAAATAAAATTTAATAAAAAGTAACAAACATAATAAACAATAAATAAGACCAAGTATTGGCTTAAAAACATTCAGGTGAATTCTTGAGTACTTTCAACAAGTATTTGTATTATATTAGGTTATGAAGAAAATAGAGGTAACATAGGAAGAAAAAGCACTCATATCAAGACGCGCGGTAGCGTGTCCAGCCAAGTTCAAGCCAAAGGAACAGGTGAGCAGCACCATGTATAATATTACACAAACCATTTGGAGCCACTTTTGACTCCCTCATAACTCAAAAACTACTTTACAGGAACATGTCAAATTTGGCTCATTTATTAAGTGAGACTTGCTAGATACATATGTGCTCCGAATTTCGTAAACACACCTCAAAGGGTTATTTTAGATTTAAATAATAAAATCCAAAAATCAACATTTTTATCACTGACTGATAGATCAAAACTCTAACCCAGTTCCAGATGTCCTACAAAGACACTATTGACCATATGTATGAGTGTACATCATAGAGTATATTGCTACATATATAAAGTGTACATACTAAAGGAAAAATCCGAAAACAGTAAATTTTTAAAACTTGAAAAAAAAAAATTTTTTTTTTACACATTCCACCTTTAAAAATATAATATAAAAAAATTATGTGTTACATATTTCAGCATTTTCCAAAATTCAACCCTTAAGAGGGTAAAATAGGGGATGAAAGTTTGTACGAAACCTACCTTTTTAGAGATTTTATTTGTATTTGTTGATTGAGTGAAGCTGCAGGTTCTGCTAGTTTCTATATAAAACTTTGTTGGAAATAAGTACCTATTTCATACATTGTTTATTGAAAAATAAAAGTAACTCACATTTGCATATCCTTGTGTAATTGCATTCTTGTGGCTTCACAAGCAAAATCTACAATTTTTATTAGTCTTCCTAAAATTTGCAGTGTGGATCCAATAAAAAAGTTGTCCAGGGTAACTCCATTAACTTTGACTCTTCGCAAAAAAGTTTTTCGATTTTTTATATCATACATTTCAATTGTGTCATCAGTGGGATAGTAAAAAACATTAAACCGGCGAACGAGGCTAGCTTGATTATCATACCACTCTCCAATAAAAGTATATTTATCCCTGTATGCACCTTCCTAAATAAAACTTATACTTTCTTTTATGTACAATTTATAATAAGCAAACCAAAAATCTATACTTACCATTTTATTTTATTCGATATTATTTTTCCAGCGACGATGCTACAATTTATAAGCAATATGTAGCCATTTTACCAAACTGAAAGAACAATCTATAAATTACTATAAAATACTATAAATTCAGTGAATACAAGTAGTTTGTTACTACTTACTAAGTAATATAAACTTTTAAAACTGTAAGTCGGTAGATCGTAGTGATAAAATTGTAAACAAAACCGTTTATTCAATATTGAGTTGTCAAATGTCAATTGTCATTTGTCATCAATCAGTGCTGCCAACACTTGAAAAGTTATCCCCCTAAAAAAATTAAAAAAACACCTAATATTTTTATTTTAAATATTTTTTGTTTCAAATGAGTACAAATAGCGTTAGAAACATATTTATTTTTATAATAATAACATCTAACCATTTAAAAATAATAATAATAAATTTCATAGATAACTTAGAAAGTAATAAAAATAGGGATATAATTTTTCCAAGTCTTTAATCTCTCCACGACGTTAACAATAGATTTCTTAAAAATTTAATTATTTATTAGAAATTTACTTGGAGGTGTTAACCGAAACTTTATAAGCCCTAAAAAAAGACCTTAAATATTTTTCCCCCCCTGAAAAATCCCTGGTGCCATTTTTTTAACCCTAAATTTTGGGGGAAAGCCCCTAAATTGGCTACACTGGTTACCAGCACAAATTTTATGTGGTTCGCCACTAGATGTCATGTTTATTATAAATTAATTCAAAAATTAAAATATTTAACTCATCAAAAAGTTCGATCATTTATAAATGTCAAACTTAAGGATGTGCTTCGTTGTCTATACTAATATTATAGAGAGGTAAAGTTTGTGAGATTGTGAGTTTGTCACGTTCTAGGGGGTAATCTCTGGATCTACTAAACCGATTTAGATGAAATTTGGTAAGAAGATGGTTTGAGACCCTGGGTGAAAATGGGGATGAAAGTTTGTATGGGGAAGCAAGCTAGGGATGAACCCGAGCGAAGCGAGGGTGAGTCGCTAGTTTATCATAAATTTAATTATCATAGATAACATATTTGTGAAGTTAATTATTTAAAAAAATACTTTTAGTTACAAATAAAAAGACTTGTCAAAGTTATTTATATTTAAGTCATGCTATTAAAGAAAAAAGCCCCTATAGAACCCCTAAACATTTTTCCCTCTAAAAAAAACACTGTGCAATATTTTTCCTCCTACATTTGGCGGGAAACCCCCCCAACTTGTGACTACACTGTCATCAATCATTATAAAATTGTCAAAGTTAAAATTATTTTAAAGCTATGGCAGAAGTAATAACTTTGTACAGCATAAGTTTCTTAATAATTGATGAAAAATAAAATAATTAAAAGTATACGTTATTAAATTAGATCGCTGCGGATAGTCTAAGTACTCAAATCTTCAATTTTATAATTTTTGTTTTCCAAGTCTTCAATAGTTCTTCAGTCGATCAACAGTAACATTGTTGGTCGAAGCTCCAAGTGCATTTTTATTTTTAAATAATTTACGAGATATTCTTAAATTTTAAAGTGATTAAGAACACAAAATATTTAATATACAACCTTTTCTTTTAAAACAAAAAAATGCACTTGTTATTCTATTGTGTGTCATTCATAAAATTGTATAATTTTCATGATCTTCTTACTGTTATTTAAATAAATAAAAATACGGTAATATGGTAAAGGATCTTCCAACTAAAATGATTTGGCTAAAACATATTAATTAAATAAAAATGCTTATTATTTTTGGAGATTATAAATCTCTTTATATTATTTGTTTATAGTATTTATGACTTGGGGCCTAGAACCTATAATATCTTGTAACCACAAATAGATGTATGTAATAACGTATAATGACTATGTAACCCACTCTCCATGGGGCCGCGTCTTATATTCTTAACGTGTACTGGTTTTAGATTTTATATAATATTAACAGAAAAATTGTAGTAGATAGTAATAATACATGCATTATATTTCAGCCCTACGATTATTTTGATAAGTATACATTTCTTTGTGAAATGTATGATGAGGATGCAGACGAAATTAAAGATTTGGTACTGAATTTTTTCCCTTTTGATAATTCTATACAAGTAATTGATGGGAAAAAAGGAAAAAACCTGGTAAAAAGGGTTCATTTGCCGCCATTGAAACTCGAAATGTTACAAATTGGAAATATAGTTAACATATTTTCCAAATTATTATATATCAAAGATTGTGCACCTGCTACTAGAAAAATGTTGTATCATAACGTTCAAAGGTAGTTACAAAAACTATTACGTTAAACGCGAATTTTAATTTATTTATGAAAAAAAATCATACTTTAAACTTTACAACTCTGGGTTGATACTGGAAATTTCTTACCAGAACAACACTATTTTCAGCCCGACCTGAACTGAACTGACTCAAACCCAGTGCCTTATAATTTGCAGCCATCCATGCTTATTATTATTATTATTTTGTTGGGTGTGCCCTAGCTACGTCGACCAGTTTTGGTCCAGTGTAGCTCCCTTTATAATGAGTTCAAAGTTCACCGCTTAGTCCTGTTGACTCCAGGAACTTCCAGATTTTCTGAGCGGGGAGCATCTATATCTCTTCCGGTTGCATAATATGCTGCCCTAGATAGATACTTCTGCGGTGCATGAGTGGACCGCACGAGCAGAGGACGTGCATAGCAGTTTCCTCTGTCTAATGGCATAGTCTGCACATTGTAGTCTGACTGAGGCCGAGGGTAAACATATGTTTATTGAGTTTGCAGTGACCAGTAAGTATTCTGGTTACTGCACTGGTTTTATACTTGTTGAGTTGAAGCAACTCTTTTGTAAACGTTTTGCGATATCCCTTATTTAGCGCTTTAGAGTGTGTTTGTTCAGAAGTGGATTGCCACTCTTGAAGTGCTTGGCGATTGCAGTGAATTTTGAGAATTGAATTGCTTAATGCTAGCCACTAGAGCAATGATGTCAAAAAATGAAATAAAAAATTTTGCACTATAAAGTCCTTCTAGGCATAATCTAATACCTAGCGAGGGAATTTACTTAGAAAATAATTCTAGAGATTTATAACCTATTAAATAAAAAGGAATTATAAAATTCAGAGAAATAGTAACCACTTGATTTTATTTAAGTATTATCCATTTTAGCACATTCGCTTTAATTAAACCAATTCCACCAAGCGCACATGGTAAAATTATCACATTTATAATGAAAAAGGGCTTTCGCATAGTTCGGATGAAAAACGGCAAAATCAGTAAAGATTTTGCAATGGAATTATATAAGAATGTGGCTGGAAGTAATAAGTTGCCGTAAGTAAAATAGTCTTGAATCCTTGTAGTTTACGAAACATGTGTTTTAAAATGTAAGAATTTGAACCTCATTTTTTATACCAGTATATTTACATTAAGTAGCTTAGAACTAGTTTCTATAAACTTCCATTTTTAACATCCCATATAAATTACTAGCGACTCACCCTCGTTTCGCTAGGCTTCGTCCCTAGGTAAGTTTTAACGATATTAGTACTGAATAGATACGATCGATCTAGGGTAGCCAACCGTACTTTAATATAAGTATTGTCATTAAAGGGTCTCATCACAAACAAAGAAAAATTAGTTTAAATAAATGTCAATAGATGACGTTACATTTATCGATTTGTTATTAAAGTTGTGTTAAATTAACAAAAGATAAAAAATAGATCCCAAAAAAGTATATTATTATTTTTTTAAATATTATAAGTGAATGGATAAGAAATAATGCGCCCGTAAATTAAATTTGCATAATTTTACTAATTATTGAAATATCAGCAATCAGATCATAGGTTTATACTGTATATTCACAGATGACGCTTTTATTTTTTATGATTTTTTTTACCACGGTTAAAAATGATTAAAATCACCTATTTTTTGTATTCAAATGCAGAATGAATTTTACAATATTTACCATACGTTAGTTTGCACATATTGATAAAATAAAACAGTTTAACTATTTGGGAATCAATACCTCCTGTTGTCGACAGATAAGTAAACTATTTTTCATAGCCCTAAGTGATAAGGGTAGTCCACCCTAGGGACAAACCCGAACGGAGCGAGGATGAGTCGCTAGTACCTAATAGTATAATATATTGTAATGTATGTTGCAGCAGATGTATTACATAACTATCTTAAATTTACCCACATCAGCTATCTTAAAAAGAATGCCAGTTTTTATCATGAATTTTAGACTTATAATAGATTACGTGACGACAGGAGAAGTCATTGGTCTAGAATTGGTTGCACCTGATGCAGTACATAAATGGCGTAAATGTTTAGGAGATACAGATCCAGCAACCGCAGCACCCGGTACTCTGCGAAGACTTTATGGGGAGAATAAACTTAAAAACGTAGCTCACGGCTGCAATACCCTTGACGACGCTATGAAGGTAGTTTTCAAAAAACGTTTTAATTTCTATTATTATTTCCTACAATTTTATAAAAATATCTATTTAGTCAATCTACCAACATATTGTATCGCGTAGGTATATATAATATGATTAAGTAAAATGAATTGATTTAATTACCGACGCGGCACAAAACCACTTTCGAGACCATGACCCTATTTTTATTTATATGTACTTTCATATTAATTCAACTTTCAGATGCTGGATTTATTTTTTGGTTATGACAATGGAATTCCCAAAGTTCCATTCCGAGCAACATACCAGAACTGTACCTGCTGTATTATTAAGCCGCACGTTATAATTGATGGCAATTTAGGCGCAATAGTTGAACAAATTGCTACATCAAACAAGTTTTATATATCCGCTATAGCCATGTTTTCAGTGAAATTGGCAAATGCTGAAGAATTTTTTGAAGTTTATAAAGGTGTATTACCCGAATATGAGGTAGGTACCTAATTTTTGAGTAGGGATGGCATTTCGACATTTTTTTTTTTTTAACGTTGGGAAATGCATTTAGGCACGAGGTGTGGGACTCACCGGCAAAGCCACTGCTACCCACTTAAACCCAACGGAACCTCCCCCCTCTTAGGGCGTCGCAGGATCGCTTACTCACTCAATCACGAGTCACAACGCCCCGATGGCAGGTCTGCCCAAGCAGACCACAACAACCATGAGGTTGCTCCACAGTCCACACTGTCATCACAGAAGTACCAGGAGCAACCCGCGGATACACCGCTCACCTCCCAGTGCGTTTCTTAGATTCGCGCCCGGCTAGATTGGCGCGCACTACTTTAATAATTAGATGTTTTCTTTGTATGTATGTTCCACGTGAATGATTTTCATAATTATTTTTTTATTCTCACACTAATAATGGTGAAATTACATTTTACTTATTTCGAAGTTTTTGTCCCATTTTAGTAAAACATATTTTGCATACTAATAACATTTTCTATACTTGCATTTTGAGATCCACAAATATTAAATAGACACAGTACAAATTTATAATCAAATTCTAGGCTATGTGTATTCATTTGGCAGAAGGAAAATGTATTGTTTTAGAGGTGAAATGTATTGACTCAAGTATAAACTGTGTTTGTGAGTTCAGAAAACTCTGTGGCCCGAGAGATCCTGTAAGTTGTTGCCAATTGTATATTGTCAATTATTATTAAATGGAAAAGGTATTTTATCATTTACAATGTTATTAAATACTCAATGAATGTAGCAATCTTGCAGACAGATCTCGTACAATAACATGTTTTTTATAATGTTCATTTAGCCAACAAAAAAAAATTGTATTTTATAGTATATCCTAATAATACTAACCAAAATTTGGCAGCCACTAAAGTGAAAAAGTGTTAAGCCAAAAATATTTCTTATCTCAAAACTACTGAACTTTTATTCTTTAAAATGATTTTTGTATGGAACATTATTGAAATTTATTTAGAATTTTCTGTTTCATATTTTAAAAGTTAATAAGAAGTGGCACTACACATACAATGTTAAGGAATTTTAAAAGCATATAACTTTATAGCTGTTGGCTTCAATAAAAACATTTCTTTAGAGCATTGACAAGATCACATACATTTTTTTCTGTACCCATTATTTTCATATTGTATGCAGTAGTACTCCTTATTTTTAAATTTTTCATAATTTGACTTTACACTGGTAAGCAGTTCACAAATATATTGTACTAACAGTCTTATAATAAAATGGTTGTGAGGAAATTAAAAAGATCCTGTTTTGTGCCTTTTTGCCACAAACCCCTAGTTTAATTTTACTGAAATTTTCAATACATCATGTTTAATATACAGGAGCTGTGTCGTCAACTATATCCTGATTCAATTAGGGCCTTATATGGCAAGAACATTATATATAATGCTGTACATTGCACGGACCTTCCAGAAGATGGAGAAATTGAAGTTGAATATTTTTTTAAGTTATTGGCCAATGATTAATAATTCACTTGATTTATATCAAATTAAACATATTTTATTTTCTTCTATATACATTTTTAATGACAAAATCATTTCCTTCAATTTCAATTTTATCATACATCCATTTCCTGTTAATCCTAAAATAAAAAACAATGTCATAAGTGTAATATTTAAAAATAATAATAAGCGATAGTAAAAATAATCATTTCTCCAACCTGCATTCATGTCCACATTTATTGGAACTACATTTGGCACACGGGAAATGGCAACCTGGACATGTTTCATCCAAGCAATCACAAAGATCTTGTCCTGTCGCTGCTAACAATCCTTTTTCATTATAAAGTTTTTTACATGTTCGACTGAAATATAGCGAATTAATGTTATTGCAGAAATAAAACTACTAGGAATAAAACAAATTACTCATAATAAGAGTTAATACTTCATAAAATAGCTCCTACGATTCAATTTTCTACGTTCCCGAGCTGATGTTTCGGGGTCAAAGTTTTCTAAGAAATTCATTTTAGGCTTCGTCTTTTATAAACACGGGTCCCCCAGTAGACTCTTGGTTTTTTTGTGCAAAGTACTTATTATATTGAGTAATCCCACAAAGTTTCAAGTGGAGGAAATAAATATTTTCGGAGATAAAAATTTCAAAGTTTGATAAATGTAACCTCAATTATGCACTATTTTATTGCTTTATAATATGGAAGTTGGAATTTGCAATTTGTAATTTGAATTGTATGACAAATTAAACTTGACGTGATTTTGAGTTTTGACAGAAGTGTTGCTATTTTATGGAGTTTTAATTATGTATATTGTGTAATGTGTAGGAGACTAGGAGTGCACGATATATATCGATATTTCATAAAATATCGATATATGTACGCAATACACCGCTTCAACCTGATATTATCGAATCATATAGTATCGATATTATATATCTATATATTTCATCCGATATACCAAATATCTTGAGAAATGAAAACACATTCAATTTCTACTTTGTAAAATTGATTCCTTTATTTATGGATGGCAACTTGAGTAAGAAAAAGGATTGTTAGCAGACTTGAAACGTAAAACCCCGAATTATTGAAAAACTAGCCTTCGCAATAACGGAACGCAAAGACACGAAAATAGCGAGCTAGTCTCCTACTCTTCGTGAAGGCAGACTAGTAGTAGTAAAAATTTTATAATCTGTGACTGTAGTCGTAACTCGTAGTGTGTCTATCTGTGCCTCGACAGTCTTACTCGCTTCCGAAATCCGAGTTCCGACTTCCGCTTCGTTCATCGTTCTCACTTCTCAGTACAAATAACCTATAAAGTATAAATAAAAGTTGTCTGTTTTGTTTAATACAGTTTACGAAATTAAAATATAGTAAGTGTGTATAACGATATATAAAAACGGCTATTTTAACTCAGCACTTTAGTAAAATTTTGTTTCTGCAAGGTCTAGAGAAAAAGTATTGGGATTAATAAATAAACAAAATGTATCGTTTCTTCACTAACTGTTTTTACTCATATTAACCTGATCCCTACCTAATATTTAATATTACAGACTATTTAAATACAAACAAATAGCTTACGACTTACGATATATCGAGAATATCGATATATTTATACGATATATCGCAAATTATCGATACAACAATACGATATATTATATCAAAAAAAAATATCGATATTTTTTTACATGAACATCCCTAATTATGTGTTTTAATTTTACAAGACAGAAGTTTTGCCATTTTAGGGAGTTTTAGTTATGCGTTTTAATTTTGCAAATAATAAGTTGACGCGTATTTTAACTTTTGTTTGAAAACTCTCAATATTTTAATTGGTATTAACAATTTCAGTTATTTTAGCTTTTTTGGGTCTATAACAACGAAAATTTTGATTTTATGACAATCTAAAGTTATTTTCTCAATCGCTCTGGCAAGTGGCAACCATTTTGTATATTTTTGTTGTGTGATTTACAACCCCTTATATAGGCAAAGAATTATTTATTATCAGAATTATTTATTACTTGAAACTTGGTATCAATGCTCTTCAATACAAATAAATACATGTTTTAGCATTTTTCGAAATTCAATCCCAAAAGGGGGTAAAATGGGGGATGAAAATTTGTATGAAACTCTGTAATTAATGTGTAAAAAAGTACAAAAAACACTTGTAGACGATTGAAGAATTTTATAATCACTTTCTTTAAAATGATGTCCACATAGCCTTAAATATAAAGATTGTGATATTGCCAATTTTGGTCGTCTTATTGCTTTAGCCCACAATTTCTTCAATTTTTGTCACTGCACAATTTACTATTTGTCATTTTAATTAAATCTACACATATAAAATTGTAACTAAACCAAATCTGTACAATAAATATTTTTTGAAAAATCTTGTTGAAATAGACATTATTATCGATACAGAGGCCGAATCTATAGTTTTAGAATTTTTGTATATCTGTCTGTCTGTTACCGCATCACGGAATAACAACTGGAGGGATTTTGATGATAGCTGGTTATCCGGGTTATATAGGCTACTTTTTACTGCGGGAAAATATCACATCTCTGAGTTTATACTTCTACTACGGACGGACGCTAGTTTTAAACAAAATGAAAAAAAATATATAATGAGGGCTATAGTGATTGTGACATCTGGCGGGTGATAAAGCAAAATTATTCCCACTATATAAATAAAATAATTTTGTTATTTTGTATCTGTGTTGTCAACTTTTCATAGTTTTGTGATGCTTATACCCACTTATACCTATCATAGGGATGGAACATTTCACGAGTAGCAAGTGAAAAATCACGTGAAATGCGTAATCATACGTCACACCTGCTACTTAAATTCATAGTGGCTGCTACAAATCACAACTTGGTGAAATCTAGAGCTGTAGCAAACCGTATGTATTCGTTACTGAGTAACGGGTACGCCATCTAGTACCGAGTACCGAAACGTTACTCACGAATGCATTTCGTTACTCGCATTTTCCGTATACATTTTCGTACTGATGTTTTTATTGATTTTTTATTCAACAAAATACAATTTTCAGTTAATACCGTTGATCAGTAAATTGGGGAGTTTATTTATTTCGAGTTGCATGATTTCGGATTCTTAGAAATATTGTTTAGAAATAATTTTAAATTAGAAACAACAATTAAATTTAGAGCACATTTTTAGTTTTTTATCCAACAAATACTTATAATTTTTACTGAATGATTATGTGTAATACGTACAGATTATGAGTTAATAAATCATTCGCGCAATTGATTTTAAAATATAATATATGTATTACGACGTCACACTAACGTGAAAGATGGCGTTACTTTTCATTTTTAAATTACCTATTTTTTATTTATTATTTAATTTCAAAATTTATTCATAAAAATTTTTGTTAGTAAAGTTTTTAAAAATTATAAAGATTTATAAATAATTAAAATTTCTGGGCTCTAGATATCCTGTAACTCTCCAATTGAAATGGTTTGCTGATCGTGCATTATTCCACAGAAAAATTCTTATTGTACATAAAAACAATGAACTTTTAAATACGCCAATGTAATTATGGAACTTAGCTTAATACAATTTTACCGTGTGATTACTCTGATATATTTAAAATTCATTTAATTTTACATTGTCAGTCCCAAGCCTGTATAAGTATGAGGGAAAGTTCATTGTTTGAAAATAGGTTCATTCAAAGCACCATGTACGTATGCAACTACGTCAGATCTATATCTCTGCTCCATATCACATCAGTAGTGCCATTGGTGACATTTCATACTTCATTTTAATAGCAAATAATATAAAGTGTGACACCAGACCGGCGAAATCAAAAATCTATGCGTGAAAAGTAGCAGGTGAAATCACGTGAAAAATTGTTGTAATTTCATCACGTGATAATGATTTAAAAGTAGCAATCATTTCCATGCTTAACCTATCTATTTAAATTTATGAACGAATTTTTATTAGTCAATTGTCATTTGGCAATTGAGAATTGTCATCCATCATCCATGAAAATAATTATTTGAACCATGCTTGCAGTGTGCATGTTTTTATAACGTTATCATTTATTTCCCCCTGAATTTATTGGAATTACATACTTAGTAGTGTATTAAATAAGAATTGATAACTATGGCTGATACAAGTAGTAAGGAATCATCTGTTACAAAAGTTCCTATGATCTATGTTTGTGGCGGTATGTTTGGGTTGTAATAATAATTACATATTTGATTTATTCAATTGCGCTACAAGAAAAGTATATTTAACGATACATTTGTATTTTCAATAGTGGTATAAAAACAGTGTACATAACGATACAGAACAATATTATCTAGTAACTTTTTGTGTTTTCCTTCTAAAATGTAAAATACATTTATTTTCCAGAGTGTCATAGAGAAAACGAAATAAAACCAAGAGATCCTATAAGATGCAGAGAATGTGGTTACAGAATTATGTACAAGAAGAGAACTAAAAGATGTATCCTTTTTATTAAATATGTAAACATTTTTGAATACATGGTACAATAACTTTGGACAAGTAAGCCTTAGATTTCGAGTGCCTTAGGCCAGCACCATCTTAAATTATGATTACTTCAGTTGAAACCTCATCATATAATATATACAATTCAAATTTTGTCGAAAAATACCAAATCATACAAATAAACTGACAATGGGTAGTTTATCTAAAAATAATTCATAAATTGGTTTTCTTATTATATTCTAGCCTTTCTTGTAACAAAAAACAAATTCTTTAGAAGATAATAAACCTTTCTTATTTATTGTTTTAAAAATTCTTTATGAGGTGTGAATGATAATAAATGAAAAAGAAGATTATTTTATGCATTTGCCTTGCAATCTTTGATACTTCGTCTGTCAGTGTCTGTTTGTTATGTCAAAATAACAAACAGCTTTTTACTAATTGCAATGAAAGTATAAATGTTACAAAGAAAAAAACATTTTTTGTAATTTTTGTCTGTCTCTTTTTGTCCCGGCTAATCTCTGAAACGGCTGGACCGATTGTGACAGGACTTTCACTGGCAGATATGATAATGATTAACTTAAGTAACTTATTATAATTTTAGAAAAAGAATTAGGATTTTGCAAAAAAAAAGTAAACCTTTGAAATTGTGAACAAAATCTGAGTACCTAGAGCAAAGCAAGGGATGTCGCTAGTTTACATGCATATATAATTAACCAAACTTCAAGATATATGTGGATTGAATTAATTAAACCACTTTATAAAGTACTTTAATAAGCCAGAGTAGCAATAAAATAACAACATAAACGTTTACTTTTATCTCTTTCCTTAATTATTAAGATTTTTGGGATAAAAAGTATCCTATGTCTTTCCCAGGGTCTTAAGCTATCTTCTTACCAAATTTCATCTAAATCGGTTCAGTAGGTCCTATAACATCACAAACTCAAAATCTCACAAACTTTACTTTTGTAAAATATTATACATGAAAATCTTAACACAGATTGTATTACTTTCTTAGCTCTATGTCGAAATTACATTTTTGGTTTTGGTAATATTTGTAAGAAAAGGAGATGAATGACAAAACTTCAGGCAGTTATAATTTCAGTTGTGAAATTATAATTTTACATATTTTTATAATAAAAACAGATTTTACAATTTCTCTACATATACACTAATTACCACTGTACCGAGTAAGGGAACATACCCATACTACACGCCCCATTTTTTACAATTTTTACGTGGTGCATGGTATTTTTAAGACTCCCTCTTTTTGAAAATTAGATAAGATTTCTGGGAATAAGTATGTAGTAAAATTTAAAAAGCTAATCCCTTATTTATTTTTTTGCCTTTTCTATACTGTCAAATTTTGCTATCCGCTCTCATTTCAGAAAATTAAAGTATGTATGGAGTATGTATACACAAAGTATATACAGAAATCTTAGTTTTCTTAAAAACAAAGCATGATAGGATAAAGTAGTTGTAAAAGAAATTGTTTGAAGTGTATAAATAGAAGAGGTAAAAGATAAATTATGTAGAAATCGTAGTTCTTGGCACTCTGTTCTCTCTGCCTACCCCAAAAGTGTGTGTGTGTGTGTGAAATATAAAATTATTGAGAGCCAGCTCCATTGTAATGTTTAAATCAAGACAAATAAACTTAAAATCATCAAAAAATCTTTTTGTCTTTTGAATTTTGGTTTTAGATAAATTTTAATATTATACATAAGTAAGTTACTAGGACTAGAGCAATAAAGTTCTCAAAGTTTTGTGTGTTAGATTGTACATTGGTAGATGTTTGAACTTTTACTATCACTATATTATGATCTATTTACTCCACAAAGTCTATTCTTTAAGTTTATTATTGAAGGTTCACTTTATTACATCTGGCTGCCTCGGTGGTGTAGTGGCTAGCATGTATGGCTGCACAGTCGGAGGTCTTGGGTTCGAGACCTGGGTCGGGCCAAGTTTAGTTATCGAGTCTTTCTGTATATTAAGCCTCAGTAACAGCTCGGAGTTGGGAAGATGGCGGTGTTTCACCCCCGTGCCTCGGAAAGCACGTAAAGCCGTCGGTCCTGCGCCTTAACTCTCACTGGTCGTGTCGAGTGGTCGCCCACCAGAGTATGAGAGTGACAGGAATAGAGAGTGCATTTGTGTCTGCGCGTACACTGCACAGTTGGCTAGTGTCAATGAGATTGGCCGCCGTGGCCGGAATCGGTCAGGGGAACATCATTATAAATATAATTTCTTTAACTAATGATTCAGTGGTGGTGTTTGATGCACGATGATGGGAAGAAAATAAAAATTTAATATTAATTTTACATTTACTTTAATCTTATCTTTATAAAATATTCATCCATATAATGTATAGTAAACAATAAATGGGCAAATATTTGACATATAATTTTACTTTTCCCTTTTCCTTAATGCATACAAACTATAAGAAAAATATATATGTTACTTATTTTGATCTTATCTATATGTCACACATGATTCAAATAAAAATGATTTTACAAGTATTAGCTATGTTAACATATTTTTACATTTATTGTTATTCATTGTATAAAATACCCATCAAAGTTGAGATGACTATGATACAAAAAATGATATGTGTTCACATAAAAAAATATTATATCATACACCCACACAGTATTTAGGTCATTGCTGTAGTGATAATAAATTAAAAACATCCCAATAAATGTAACATTATCATCTTTATTCAAAATAACACTAGTGTGTAGGTGAATTTTCATGTAATGTACACAAAAATGATTATAACTGGATCAAGTATTAGTTTTCAGAACCTAATATTTATAAGAAATTTTGAATAAATATACATTGGATATAGACAAAAAATTATATTATTACAAAAATATCTCATCCTTACAATGTAAGTAACAGTATGTAAAGTTATAAAAAACTTTTATTAGGCCTATATTTACATTTATTCAATTTATGTATATATATATTATTTTTTTATTTTCAAATGATGACTCTTTTAAGTAAGTTTTTAGGTTAGCATAGGATTAAATTACATAAGTCAAATATTTACCCAAATGAAAAGTAACTAGTATAAAACAAATATCTAGCACAAGTACTATTTTTCGATATGGAAGACTCTTCAAAATATCTTTACCTAAATTTCGTTCATGGAAGTTGATATGCCAATTACATTAAAAGATACTTTAAAGGATTTTTGGAAGTAGTAGTTGTTCAGTGTAAATACATTGTAGTATATATTTTATAAAAATACATACAAAAGAGTAATAACTATAGTAGTACACTTTTTAAAATGTAATATGTCTCATTGATATTTCAAACTTTCTTTATCTTAATCGTGGACCACATATTACTAACATTTGAATTACTTGAAGGAAAGTCCTAAACTGTTTCTTGCCTCAAATTCAAGAACACTTAACAAATATCCTCATAGATCCTATTTAGAACTATAAGTAACAGTATGTAAGCCTTATACTGGAAGCAAATATAACAATATTAAAATTAATTCAATTTGAGATATTTACATGATAGTCTCCAGAACCATATATAACATAAAATACAAATATGTATATAATTAAAGCGCATCATTTTGTTTTCACACACATCTGAGTTAAACCCCAGTATGAATAATTACACCTTAAATTAATAATAAAAACAAAATTGCACATTAAAATATTCTACTTAGTTTAATTTTGGCACTAATTATCTGTGGCACTATAGTTAACTTGTCTCTCTATTTCGTGATTGTCACTATTTTCAATAGTTTTTATCTCACTATCTTTAACACTGTCACAAGTCTTTTCCGAGATCACAGCTTCCTCGTCCTCGGAAGACTCTCTGCCCGCCGGGGGCAGTGCTGAGACCAGATTGGGCTCCCTATATTCTAACTTAGTGGGGTCTTTCTCATGTAGTTTCCTAGCCAATGACTGCAAGCTAGCTAACGAGCTAGCACAGTCTGTTGTGTCGATGTCAGTCAGACTCAGACCTGCACGCTCGATCTCCGTAAAAGTACCAAAGGGCAATTTGAATAAGCACTCGAGACGCATTACGTGCATTTTACTCCTTAAATGCTTAGCCAAATGCCCATGTATTCTAAACGCAATGTTGCAATCCGAACAACGGAAAGGGCGTGGATTAAATGAAGTCGCCGCCCCAAAAGTAGATGTCATTGAAACTTTGTTATGATGAGAACCTGAGCGCTCGTGCTTTTGAAGATGTCCCCTCGTTCGGAAACTGACAGCACACACGCTACACCTGAACGGTCTCTCCATGTAATGTATGTTCAGGTGCAATCTTAACTGAGATGGTTTAGTGAATGTTTTGTTGCAAAAGTCACAGACTCTGCGCCCGTCTTCCATCAATTTCCCAGGCGAGTAAGGCGTTCCTTCAAAATCTTTTCCTTTCGTAACTTTGAAAGCTACACCTCCAACCCCAATAACAACTTTTGGCGCGACAGAATCATATTCTGATGGCGCCACTTTAATGCCATCACCATCGATGTCATCTATTTTCGTTTTATCGTCCAAATTCAATTTTCCACTATTACTATCATCGCTCGATAAATCGGGATGATTTGGAATAGGGTCATCAAGAGTCTTCATTATTCGAGCGTGTTTTAAGTATTCAGAGACCACATGCTTAGCGTTTTCAGAATTACTAGGCGTTCGAGATCTGTTTTCGTTATTCTGAATGATTGAACTTTGCGAATTTTCACTAAAATTACTATCTTCCTTAGGTATGCCAGAATTTATAGCTTCATTACAAGTATTCAACTTCACATTATTGGGAGAGTTGTTTAGAGAATTTGTATTTTTAACGTTTTTATCGGTAGACTCCTTTTCAGAATAGATAGAATTTTCTAGATCAATTTTTCTTATTTTAGAGTTGCTGGTAAACTGACTTTGCTTAATTTTTGTGTCTAATAGCGCGCGTTCTGTTAAATATGTATGTAACATCGGCTCTCCATTTACCCATTGACTTTGATGTTGGGGAAGTTTGGCCGTATTTGATGCTAACGACGCCAATACACTAGATTCTCGCGCAGTAGGTATTTCTGGCAATCCTGCATTTACAGGAGTTTTCGGCTCGCTCTTGCTCAAGTCCATTGGTTCATTATCTGCATCCATTCTGGTATCTAAAACCGGAGTCTGCACAACTTGCATGGCCTCTGAGGTCATATCTGCCATGCTGTCTAATAACATAGGTGTATAGGGATATGTAGTTGGCCTTGCACTAGTTATGAGGCCCGGAGTTGCCGAGGTTGCTGGCCTACTGCTGCCCAAAGATAGCAGACAGTGGGCGGCCTCATGTTCTGGTAAACGGGACTTGCATATTTCAGTATCTGTAAATATTAATATGTGAAAGTTAATTTTAAATACTTGCAACGTAAAATAAACTTAAATAGTACAAAATATTTCACTTAGAGCACATGACAATATATAAATATTTAAGTGCGAATTTAACTTGTATAGATTTTACAGGAAATTTAGAAAAAAATTGACAACGTCAAACCAAAATTTATAGTGTGATTAAAATTTATTTTAAAATATATACGAAAATAACATTAAACTTTAATTAATAGTATAAAAAATGTTTTAAAAGACAAAAATATCGAAAGTGTATCATATTACAAGACATAATCAGAGATATATATAAGAGACATATCTGACATATTCCGCTATAAACAATAGCATTCCCAAGGAGGGTTGACGTCAGGCAGGCGGCCGGTCGTAAAACTTTTGCCAAATCCTTTCAGCAGTACAGAGGATGTACTGCGCCGACCCCAAGTAATTGGGAAATGGGCAGGGAGAAGAAGAAGAAGATTTTACAGGAAATAAAAACTTTTTGTTTTTATTTCTATAAACTATGATCTTTATCCATATTAATATTATAAATGTGAAGGTGTGTTTGTTTGTTTGTCCTTCTTTCACGTCGAAACGGAGTGACGGATTGGCGTATTTTTTTGTGTGGAGATAGTTAGAGTGTAATATAGGTTCTTTTTACCGCGGGAGATTATCTAATCCCCACGGGAAAATACGTTATATAAAATTAAATATAAACGTGTTTTAGCATTTTTCGAAATTCATCCTATAAGAGGGTAAAATAGGGGATGAATGTTTCTATGAAACTATTTTGTACTTTTGGCGACTATTTTGTACTTTTAGCGCGAGCGAAGCCGCGGGATCTGCTAGTTATTCTATATATTCAATATCGACTTACCACTTGATTCCGTTTCTCCTTCGTTTCCTTCATCGCCTTCAGAATCAGTATCATCATCTGTTTCGCCAGATTGTGTCATTTCGGGGCCCTCCATATCATTGCCTTCGTTCGGGTTTATGCCTAGTTCACAACATTTTTTATAATGCGCTTTACTTTTCATATGCTTCGTCAAGTTGCCTTTTGTTTTAAAACTGAAAAATCATAATAAGACATAAATTATTATGAAATATTCATCAAAACTGACACAAACACACGAAAAAAAAAAACATTTTATAAGCAACATTTACCTAAAAACACAATGTATGCACGTGTATGGTCGCACGTCGGTGTGAGTTCGTATGTGTTTTTTCAACATCGAAGGTTTCTTGCAACGAATTCCACATTCCGAACATACGTAGCGTCCTCTACCACGTCCACGTACATAAGTATATTCCTCGTTACTTTCAAAACCTCCTGCCAATTCTTTTTTAGGTGTGTTGGTACTATCACAAACGTTTTTTAAATCGTCTGATTTTTTTGAGTCCATTAATTGTATAGTCTGAAATATCAAAAAACAACATTTAATGATATGTATATAAATATACATTATTAATATTATGATTATGAAGACCAAATTATTACAATGATTATCAAGTCATATGCTAATCTATCTATATAAATAAAAATGAATCAGCGAAATGTATGTATGCATAACTTCGGATCGACTGCACCAAATTGGGTAATTCTTTTTTTTTGTTATTGTCAGGAAGTTTTATATAGAAGAAACTTAAAAGATATATTTTTTAAGTAATATAAGTTATTTTTTAATCTTATGATATGAAAAGTGAGTCAGTGAAATAGTTTTTATCCCGGAAATCATCCCTTAAGGGGGTGAGAAAGGGGATGAAAGTTTGTATGGGGAAGCAAGCTAGGGACGAACCCGAGCGAAGCGAAAGTGAGTCGCTAGTAGTATAAAAAACCTTTTATCTAACATATATTTTATCTAATACATATGCAGAGATATGTTTATAATAATACAGCTAATTGAACTCTACTATAAAGGTTACTCAAGTAGGACAAGTTACTTCATTATTTAATTAGAAAATCAATATTACAACAAAATCACACTACATCGACTGGTCTTACGTCGTACGTACGTACTAATAATAAAAATTTGACAACACGTTTGGCTTAGTTTGTAGTGACCCTACTTGCTGTGCCAGCGGTCGCGGATTCGAGTCCATCTGGGGGCATTCATTTGTGTGATGAGAACGAATGTTTGTACTTATAATATGTATATAAGTTTTTAAAATTATATATGTGTGGTGTATCAACTATCTGGTATCCATAACACAAGCCTCGTAGCTTACCATGGATGGTGTTGTGTTAATGTCCCAATATATTTATATATTATTTAAATATATAACATTACAAATTATAAACTTATTCATGGTATTATTTTAAGTATATACTCATATTTGTTTACGTGACTGCTTTAAACATAATAATAACTTATTTGTAAAATGTACATATATTAGATAAATTATTAAAAATAACTTATCGCCTTAGTTTATAAATACCTGTTTTCCGTCCTTCGAATTTTTATTCCATTGCGATGAATGAGTCAATATGAGATCCTGTTTAATCACAGCGACGGCCACGTTTTGCGGTCGATGACGTGAGTCATATAAAGACATAGCAGACGACGCTGACAATCCCAGCGGGTCTGGCGTCAGCTCAGATAATAACTGTAAACATATTCATGCATTTACCACACAATCGACAACAACACTATATTACATCCATTCAATACATCAATAGTAATTACCTGCCAATTACTATACATGGACAGAAAATGTTGATTAGGTACATATGTCGGCTGTGGGCGATTTATCGTACAATAAAAAGCTTTCGTTGAACATTTGAGACCTAAATATGTATACGCATTGCCGTTTAGATAAAGTTGACCGTAAGCTTTAGCCGGACGAGGAGTTTCTGGAGATACTAAAGGCATTGTATTTGCGTTTGGTGTTATTCCGTGATGTCTCTTTGGAGTGAACGTCCCTGGCTTCAATGGCAGAGTTGACGGCCGTAAAAATTTTGGTTTTCTTTCTTCGGAGATAGGTTTTACAGCTGAATTTTTTTGAAAATAAGATGTTTCTGATCTCTCATTTTGTACCGAAACAGAAACTACTGTTTCTTGTTCATTAAAGTTTTTTTGTACTTCTGTAGAGCTTTGGACTTGATTATTATATATTTCAGATTTAGTAATTAAATTCTCAAAATTAAAGTTCTTTATTTCATTTTCCGACTTTATATCTAAAATTTTGGGGGAATGATGGAAACTGGCCTCTTTATTCTTAGTCTTACTGAATAAATAATTGGTATTCTCTTTTAAAACGGGTATCCTGGGAAGACCATCAGCATTTCGCTTAATTGCTCCATCATTTCGCATCGTCGTTCTGGTGTTATTATTCAATGTAAACGTTTTTGCTATGGTGGGTTCATCAACATGCTTTATTTTAATGATTGGTACAGTAGAGCTGTTTTGTATTTCGGTTACATAGTTGTCCTTATATGGATTATGTCTTTCTAATTCTGTATGAGTAGATCTCATATTCGGGCTTCGAGAATTTAAGACTTTGTCATAATTTAAAATTGGATTTCCTTTTCCTGTATGTAAGTTATAAGAAACACTATCGTGTGAACTTTCATGTGTAGTTTTTGTCATGATTTTGTAATTTTCGTTATTTTTTATTTGCGTGCTTGAATTTCCCACATACACCCCAGGTGTATTAGGTCCTGGTATTCCTGGTACATGGGGTATCATTTTACCACCATGTAATATAGTTGTGGCACCATTTGGTGACGTCGACGGGCTTAACGGTGGTAAAGTTAATGGATTGTATGCAGTTATAGCACTAAGTGGAGGAAATTGAAAGTGAGTTATATCGTGAACGCTTATTAAATTAGCATTTTGAGAATTTGGCGTCGACACTGATGCTCTAGGAGCCTGATTTTGTGGTGTAGAAATTACTTCTTTTGGTGTAGGAGGATTATGAACAATGGTTCCACCAGAATGTAGACCTGACCTTACAACAACACTGCTTGCTTCTGAGTCATTTGCATATTTTGAAGGCGAAAGGTTTTGATGTATTAATATAGGAGATAATTGTGTTTTACTTGGTTCAATACGTAATGTTGTCGTACTGCCCGAGTGATCAACTATTTTTACTTCGCCCCCAAACATTTGCAATGAAGTAGAATTATGCCGGATGTGTGGTGAAATTTCTTCCATTGATCTTAATGACACTGAATTAACTTCCATGCACCTAATCTTAGGCTGTGAATAAAAATCACTTGACCGAGGTGAGCTATTATCAATTGGTCTTGGGCTATAAGTGTCCGATCTGCTATCCAATCTTCGTTTCGGGCTAGATTCTTTGGGTTTAAGTTTTAAGCTTTCAGTCTTCTTATTGAACTCAGATGGAATTCTGGTATCTACAAGTCTTGTGTTTCCGAGCAATGGGCCTGGCGATGGCAAAGGAGCAACGATGTCGTTGGAATCCGACTTTATTATAATTAAATTATCTGGTTTATTTTTCAGTGGTGGCGATTTTGTAGAAATATTTATTCTTGATAGAGGACTAATTGGATTTTCGGGTAATCGAACGTTTATAGAATTACTTCTAACATACATGTTATCAGGTCTTGCACTTTTAATATCTTTTAATGTGGTATTACTTACTGTGGAATTATTACTCATGGTACCTTTACAATAATACAGTCTGTGTATATCTAAATTATCAGCACTTCTGTATACTATTTGACATAATGGGCAAACATAAAGAGTTCCTAGTCCATCAACCAACTCATTAGTCAAAGAGTTAAGTCCATTAGCTTTAGTTTTTAGTAAGAGATCTTTTATTATTGAACCTTCAGGATTTAAGGGGTGTTTTTGATCTTCAACAAGCTGAGCAAAGCTTTCCGAATGAGATCGCTTTCTCATAATAGTATCACTTTCATAGCTATTTTTTGTTAAATTTAATGGTGTGATTTCAGATTTAATTTCTATATCACTTAAAAACAATTTACTTTCTGCAATTTGCTTAATTTTACCATATTTTTTTTGTAAAGGAGTCTCAATAACATCAACAATGGCTTCATTGTCTGATATAATTTTCGAGATATGTTCCGTAAGAAAATCAGCATTTTGTGAAATAGATTTCTTTATCTTATCTTTTTCATCACTACCTTGATAAAACGCTGCTCTGAACTTGGGTTTATAAATTGATTTAGACTTCTTGTTATCACTTAAAGAAGATGTAGTGCTTATAGATGCATTGTCGCTTGGTAATTCAGGAGAGGAAAATTCATTACATCTGTTATTTTCTAAACGGATAATAGAAGCATCTGAGCCAGCATCAGATGTCGAAGTGGGTGGTATTGATGTGTCACTCTCTGAACCACCTGATAAGTCTTCTTCGTTAATTGTTGTAACGAGATCACCTCCTTGGGATCTTAAAGCATGTGTTCTTGATCTTCGGTGTTTGTATAAATTTGACTTAGTCTTAAAAGCAAATCCACAAGGTATGCAAGGATACGGTCTCTCATTGGTATGAGCTCTGATATGTTTTTGTAAAACTGAAGGTTTGGCACATGATAATTTACAATATGGGCACACATAGCGCCCAGAACCTCCACTGTAAGCTTCTTTTATAAAATCGTTTTCAAGGTTATCAGTCTTATTTAAAAATTCTTCAGAAAAACTGGTTTTACCAGAAATTTGAACAAAATTATTTACATCACTTAATCTAAAATTTTCATCGTTATAATTAATTTGTACATTTTTCTCTGACTCATTGTTTTGTTTATCATATTTATCTTTAATTTTCTCTATTTCAGGGTGAGCTGCTGCAATACTTCCATTTGTAATTGTATCACTACTGGCTACATGTGTTTGACTCGTTTCTTTCTGTCCGCTTTCTTCTCCTTTTACCGAATTATTTGGAAGCGTCGACAATGTAGATGCCATTTTCTTGAACTTCTTATGAAGGTAGCTATGGTCATTGTTATTGGAAAAATTGGTATCCAAACGTTTTTCTTGTGTCAGCGGCATCTTTTTCGCGACGTTTGTACCTGTAACAAACCAATGAAATTAAGTTTAATAAAATCCACTAAAGCATTATGTAATATTATTTTATAAATTTTATGTCTGTATGCTTTCATAATACAAAATATCAATGACTGAGCTTATTTCATCGACTTTTACAGTGTACGAGACGGTTTTAATAAAAGTATTGTAAGATAATACGCGAATAATATAATCTACATTTATTTAACAAATTTATTTAGTTTAAGTCAGCTGGTTAATAATCAACACTTGGAACGAGAAAATCTCAAGGCGACGACTTTCTGCTGAATAGAGAGATGGCGATTTATTCGCGGTGATTAGATCTTTCTAGTGGCTGATTTCAGAATTAAAGTGTCAAGTAAATCAGAAATTTTCCATACACAAAATATGTAGTCGCTTCACCTAATTAATACTTGTGAGTTCTGCGAATTGCCCCTAGAGATAAACGCATATTTCGTTTATTTGTGAAAGAATAAAATATTTCTAATAATCCAATTTTTAACCGACTTCCAAAAACGAGGACGTTATCAATTCTTCGGAATCTTTTTTTTTTTTCTTTTTTTATGTATGTTCACCGATTACTCGAAGACGCCTGAACCGATTTGGAAATATTTTTTTTGTTTCAAAGGGTATACTTCCCAGGTGGTCCCATATAAATTTTATCGAAATCAGTCAAGCGGTTTTTTTAAAAAATCTACAATAAATATATATTTTTTTAAAATTGTTCACTCGAATATGTTATTAAAAAACTTTTTTCTTACAAATTACATGCTTATTACGTCTACACTAAAAATGGAAAAATAAAAACTTAAAAAAAAAAAACCGACTTCCAGGCACTAAAATGTAAAAAATAACTAAACTAAGGTTTTCATTTAGAATAGAAAATGAGAAATGAAAATGATACCTAATAAGATATTTTCAAAGTCCTGACTTAACTGATTAGAAATATTAATTTATTAATAATAAATTTGATATTTCTAAGATTGATGCTTTATAAGCCATGAAATGCCAACTGGTTAAAACTCGCACAAATTGCAAACCGACGAAGTCGCGAGTAACTAGTAATTTCTTACATATCTAAAAATTACCTTAATTAGAATAAAAAATAGCTTTAAATTTTATATGTGAAAGATTTTTCTATTCGAATTCCGAACCTCTTTTAACCTCTTGTAATTATAATTATAATATTTTGTGGAAATAAAGGTGTTACACTGACAATAATATGAAAATCATATTTTAATGCAAATCAAAATATTAACTAATTATGTCAATACGATATAACGTCATTTGCCTACATACCTAACACATTTTTTTTATCTTTGAAACATTGTAAACATTGTTACTGTGCGTTATGAAAAAAAAAAGAATTTTAAGGTCCTGATTTCACAACGAATTGCTCTGTTTCTACGTGTAATCAGATCTAGTATTTTTTTCATCTTTTTACCGATCCTTTTAAATATAATTAGACATTGGAGAAGTAAATAGTGCCCAACTGGCACTCCTAGAAGCCACGAAATAAAAGAATTGAATTAAATATATATACAGTAGGTCTACATACGAGTAGGTATGTCTATTTAAACTGACAACTGAAATGAATATAAAAATGTCGCCGTAAGTTTTTAAATATGTATGTGAAAAGTGATAAATCACACAATGTGAGATCTCTAGATAACTACGAGTAGCATATATATAAATTAAACATACATAATTATTTAATATCTTCCGCCTAAGCTCGTATCGAAATAATATATTTGCACAGTCATTGTTTGTGAATGTCTGGTGAATTTTGTTATAGTCCGACGTGTAGTATAATAAAAAAATAATTATAATATTATTAATTAAGATGCAAACAAAGTACATAAATACGGGCATCGTGCTGCGGCTGTTGACGCAACGCGCATGTGCTGCTCTAGCCTCTATGTTATGTCTAATAGTACGATGTGACATCATTATGACGTAAGCCGAACTTGCGCTACAAACGAGGAACTCCCCATCTTTTCTTTGAATTTGGACATTTTATTTTTATCCTCTCTTTACATTAACACATAACAATAACATCTGGGCCATTAGGAATGATTTGCAGAAACACAACAAGTATATAATGTTTATCAATAGTACTAAAATGACTATCAATCATCGTGTACTGCGTTATGCATTTTTCCATTTATTATTGTACTTATTTTATAGCTCACGATAATAATATATTTTAATCATAAAATGAGTGAGATGTTATTATGCAAGTGTGGGTGTTTAGCTACAATCCAAATACATGTAGTAGTGTGACGACCTCGCTTTGCGCTCACTCGAGGCATTTGTGGAGGGCTGCGTTACTGCGTTCCAAGAAGGCGTTACAATTTCTGAGAACCGGAGACAAGCAAGCCGCTCAGCTCGTTTATAACGAACGGGCAAATAAGCGCAGTACGCATTACGCACACAAACGTAGCAGATTGCTCTGTTGCTCAGATCACTCACTAACTATAATATGTCGCCTTAGCTGAGGTAGTGTGCGTTTTTATTAACGAGTAGATCGTGATTGTATGTTATTTTAAGAATATGGACCAAATTGTAAATTTATTGTCCACTTTGCAACACTGGGCTATTTAATTTTGTGAAAGAAAATGAACGCAGAGCAATTAACACGTTGGATGTGGTTATAGAAAAGTAAAGATGTATTAGAAACAAAGGAATCCCGATGGTCGGCCGCCGCCCGCCGGCCTGGCGCCAAGCCAGGCGGCCCTGGCGACGCCTGTGTCTGCCGCCAGCACGCCGTCAGCCTGTTTTGCCCCTACTTATACCATTTAGTGTATATTTATGTATAGGCTTCGTATACCTGCTCATAGCAAGATGTGCGGGAATTTATAACTCTCCAAATTCTACTTTATTGTTAATAATATTCTCGATATTTTTTAAAGTTTTTTATTAATATACCTAGTACGGAAGAAGTTATGATTTAAATACAAAAAAAGATTTAAACAACTAAAAAAAAACTAAATTTATAATTAAAATCAATTTATTATGATTCTGTTATATATAAATCAAGAATGCTGAGATAATGCACTTAAAAACAAAATAATTAAATTCTGTAAAAAAAGTTTTAGTCTATTTTGTTTATTCTCTTAAATCTTTTAGAAAGGTACATCAGAAATAGGTATTAAAAATATTCGATAATAATAGATAATGTTCCGTAGTAGAAACTTGAGAGGTCTACTCCTTGACCTGTCCATCGATCGGACGTAATTCAAGTGAAAACATAGTATAAACGTAGTAATAGCTGAATAGATTAACAATAAAATATCTTACCGGCCGCGGAATAATGAATCAATCCACCATTATATTTGAATTATCCTTGGTATCATTTGTTTACTCCTTCTGAACATATGTCAACAAGTCCGATAGGCTGCATTTCACCCGCGCGCAAGTGAATCATCGTTAATAATTGCGCGACGATCCACGCCACGACACACACACACTTGCATACCACTTCGTATCGTCACACTTGTGTCACTTCACTCGACAGAAGAACACAATTCTTTTCACTTATATGATAATTACTGATGTATGCGTAATTTCCTATTTCATTATATAGGCATGTAGCGTGAATGTTATTTCGGCTAAATATACGAGAGCAAAAGACGCACGTTACCGCGCCGCGACTGGCTGTTCAACTGTTTTTAGTTGTACTTTGTCGTTGGTTCGTATCGCGCCGCTCGGCCGTAGCTCCTCACCCCGCCCCCCGCGCCTCCGTACACCGCGCAACACGCGAGTGTGCGCCCGCTGTGAACAAGTGATTCATGGCGCGTTCTATCTATCTCCCTTCTTCTCCGCAACCGGATCGGTCGCTCGTCGTAATCTATTTATACGTATCTATGCACGGACTTTAACACTACGATTACAGTGCCATCTTTTACGTATTTTCTATACAATTATGCAAAATATGTGCTTAAACGCTAAGTCGTCATGAATTTCTTGGACGCGTACCGATTATAATGGGCAATACTTTTAAAGTTATAACTAAGAACAATTTTACTCTTACATGTTTCCTTGTTATTATTTAAATTTTAATTAATGCGACTTTCATGACTTGCGACTATTTTATTTTGATAAAAATTGACCGAACCAAGTATTTACGAATAGAGTAATTATTAATGACTATCGGTAGCCCCAATCGTATAATTTTAATGCAGCAGTGATTTCGTAACGGTTGCGCTCGACTAGAACGAGTATTGGCTTTATGTGCCACTGTTCATTTTACATTCTCTACAAAATGACTGAGATACATTAAAATCTTTGTATAATTTACAACATCACCTTAAAGACTTTTTTTTATACAATCATAAATAACTTATTGTAAGTTTATAGCTGCTTATTGATATATATAATATCATGTACATTTAATACATAAATTAGAAATACTAAGCCACGTATGTGCACTTCAACCTTTGTGGATCAAGGACATATAGGTTACTATTTATCAAATCATATCAAAAATATTATTTAATAATTATACATTGATATATAGAGCTGGTATTTTCCTATATTTAAATTATCATCTGAACTCGCTATCGCTAAGACCTCTTTATCAAACTTCAGTTAGTGCATTACTTATTTGGCTTGAAGACAAATAAGGACGTTTGGCCTGTGCGTAACTATGGATAATTAATCTGAATATTTAATTGCTAAACTGTGCGATGATAAGCGACAGTGGAGAAACTCCTCAGAACTCAAGTCAGATATGAATGTATAAACATTAAACATATTATTTGCAATGATAATTCAAGGCGCTTATCAGTTGTGCGGAGGCGATGACGCACGCGCTATGTTGATAGCGGGCAGTCGCTCCATTCTTGCTCAGGAAACTAGCGATACACGAAACATCGATACCGACAAAACTCCATTTACGTACTCACATTATTGACTTAATTACAATTGTTTTACAAAAATAGCGTGTTTTTTAGTATTTCAGTTATACGTACGAGGTAAAATAT